AAGGTGTTATTTTACATTCTCCATGGCCTAATCTTGAATATTTCGATGGAATTACTACATTCTCTACAGATAATTATTTTTCATTAGCACTTGCAATAAATTTAAGACAATTAATAATTGGTAATGATACGTATTGGTTTGAAATGACTGATGAAGACCTAAGTAAAATAAGTCCAAAAGATAATTTATACAAAGGATTTCCACCACTTTATATAACAGCTGGTACAGATGAAATATCAATTGATGAAATTCGTGATATGACTGAGAAAATGAAATCATCAGGTGTAGAAGTTATATTAGATGAAGGTGAAGGATTGATGCATACATATGCTTTATTTCATCTGTGGTCATCTCAAAGTAGACGGGTTCAAGAGAAAATTCATCAATGGATTCAAGAACAATTGTTAATTGGAATGCAATCAAAATTCAATATAGATAGGGCTACAACAAATCCATAGTGTATTTAGTATTTAGGATCAAAGTCTTTTGATCCGATTTAAATTTGGATTTGAACTCTATGTTTCGATTTTTGTGACGTATACATCTCAAACAAAGTTGAGAGTTAGTCAAAATAGAAAAGAATTTTTAAAAGAGTTAAAGATCAAAAATAAATCGAAAAAGATGAGAAGAAAGAATTGATATTCTTTATTCATGTGTATAATTATGTCTAAATTTATATAAAATCTACTTGAGCCTAAGTATTTGTAGAGTTTGTGAATGCTCACAATTGAAATCTAATCTGCTTCATCAAGTTCTGAATATAAAGAAGAGTGTTTAAACTTATGTTTGTTGTTATTATCTTTTTAATTTCATTGGTTCACAGACATCACAAACGTTAGCAAATTTCTTTCATATAATGTTAGTCGCAAAAACAGCTATGTATGTATCTCTGCAAGCAGTTACCAAAAAGTTAAAACATTTTAATTGTGTAAATATATGAATGGTGTCGCTTTTGCTTTTACTCAAGACGTTAGAAAAAGACAATCAGAATTGAGTTTTCCTAACTGACCTTCACATCATGAAGTCTTCAAGAGAGAATTTACCAGAAGACGGATTAAACTTACACAGGATCGTCCGTCACTAGATTTTTTGGACTCTTTAACGTCAAATAAGAGATTATATCGTGAAACTTATGAATCCAATTATCTTATTTCCAATTGCGAGATTCCAAGCTTTAAAAGTGTTAATTAACATTTCTTAAATGCTGTTTTTATGTTGAGAAAATTGAACTTTTCCTTATCCCTGTACGAAAATCATATGAAACTATTAAAACTGTACTCGTTTTCAATAATTTTCAGTATTAAAGTTAACTGTTAGTGAAAAATAAATATCATATTCAAAATGGTCAGTTCTATCAATATTACTAGGAAAAAAAGACTATCACGCACAGACGTTCCTTTCGTTCTGGAGACACAATCAATTACCAAAAACTCATTGTAATGACCACTGATATAGTCTATTTTGTAGAGAATTGTGTTTTGCATCTTTTGACACCGTTTTTCATTCAAAGAGACGATCAGAGACCGAAAAATTTTCCAAAAACCATAAAAATGTAAAAAAAAACGATTTAAAAAATATTTTTATTGGTCCAAGAACAAAAATTTGAGGATCATGATATTCGAAATTTTTAAGAAGTACATCAAAATAACCTAATATTTTGGATTCATAAGTTTCACGATATCATATCTCATTTGAGTTAAAAGAATGTGAAACAAAATTTATCAACGGCTGGTCCTATGCAAATTTGGTCAGTCTTCTAGCAGTCCTCTCTTATCCGAATCTTATCAAGATCTTTGGGATGGATGTATCAGATATGATCAAAAACTAATTTTTTAGAAGAAAAGGAACTATCTTGTCAAGACCTTGCTAAAAAAATATATCACTAAAGTTATTCATTGGACAACAAAGAAAAACTAGTTGAGTTTTGTGACAGGACAACTTTGATTCGTTGCATTATTGTTTATCTGTAGAAGTGATAAAAAAATGCATTGAATGGATTTCAGAAGGAAAAGGAACTGCAGATCTAAATCATAAGAACTTGAAATAAATAAATGAAGTAGAAGTGATTAGTTTTATTTAAGTTATTGTAAAATTGACGTATATATTAATTTGTTCGTTGTTTTTGTTTTGAACTTCGGTAGTGGACTAAAACAATACATGCTTCTCATCTGTTACATTCTCTTACTCTTGATCCTGAACTTTGCTTCAATTAATAATAGTTATCAAAACGAACTTCTTTTTTCAACTAAAAAAATCATTCAAATCACAATTAAATAGTGAACAATTATTGAACAGCAATCAAACACATACTGTACTACTAAGTGATGATAGTTCATTCTCTTGAAATTATAATGAAAACCAATCAAAAAATGAAATTAACAAAGAATATACTCAAGAAAATTTAGCTGAAATAAAATGCGTATTTTCTAATAAAGAAAATGATTATTATGATATAATTAACATTGATAAAGATACAATATAAAATAAAATTGTTAATGCTGATAGAAAATTAACTTTACTTATACATTCTGATAAAATAAAAGCACTT